TTTTCTCCCAAACCAGGCCTCCGGTTAATAATCCGAACGGTCAGAATGAAGAACCACACTTCTGGAACCTACAGTCCAAAAATCAGCCCGATCCAACGGTGCAAGACCTCACACCGACGAAAACACAGAGCCCACTCTGTTTTTGTGCGGGAAACTTCCTCTCCTTCTCTCTCTCAGGGTCGCTCTCCTCTCTCAAGCCATTGATCAACGCCATCATCTCCTCCACGGTAGGGTGTTGTGGGTCGTGGTTGGATGTGCCGCCTCTCGCCATAGTAGAGTGTAGGTTTTTTCCTGTGACTTGGGGTGTAGGAAGAGTTTTACCGTAGCCCCACGGTGGGCGCCAAAATGTTCCGGCCACGGGGTGTGCTAGGGTTTTTCCTAGGTCAAGCCGCAAAGCCAGAGCATTCAAAAAGTGTAATCTGCCTCCTTAACTCTAGGTCTTTGGGTTTTATAGTGCGTCGTTCATGGGCCTCTTGGGCCTCGAGGATCAAGGGATTTCCTTAACCGTTAATATTTGGAGAATATCTTGTCATTAAAGATGGGATTTTATCCCTGATATCGGAACAGTATCTATGTGAGAGAGTTAGATCGGATTTTGGCCGAGTTACTCCTGCAGAGCAGACAGGTCGGATTCTAACCGAGTGCACCCATGTAGATGGGTTGGATCGGATTCTGACCGGGACGGTACAGTAATATATACGATTTTATCACAAGATTTGACATTTATTTTCTAATTTTTTTTGTGAGGGCAGATAGAATGAATATTGAATGGATGGGCACAAATGGTTAAAGTTTTATTACCATTATTTTTTTCCCACGTTGAGAATTTCTGTCTAAATATCATTGTCACCTTTTTTTTATATATAAATAAAAATAATATGAATCGGAGTAAAGGAACAATCCACAACTCGTTTTCACATTGTTATGTAGCTATATTATTTATATGTCCAGTTGGTTGCCGTGCAGAAAACATCTAACTAAATTATATTTTCCTTGCTTTCTTTTTCTTCCTTATCCTTTAAATAAAAAATGGCACTTCAATAAAAAAATGGAAAGATGCTATCATTTAAATATATTTTTAACAATATGTCATTCCAATTAAAATAATTCAAATGGTACATACACATAAATGCAATTTTATCACATTCACGAAAGGCATGTAGAATTTCAAATTATGCGCAAAATAAGGGAATAGCTTAACTCTTGAAACTTGAAAGGGAAGGAAAAAATAATAATAATTAAAGAGTCAAATTCATAAATATACATGGCCCACCGACGACTACTTTACTAAGAAAGGGAGATATCATTACAAACCCATTATTATAAAAGTATGACTACTTACCTAGTTTCTCGGAGGGGAAATGAATTTTGATTTTTATTCGATTAAAAAGTGTAGATTAATTTTTAGTGGTTGAGACATTGTGTAAGTCACGCCTATGAACAAAAGAGAGGAAATTAACCTATATCTTTTTAAGTTTTACCGATGAGACCAGATTGAGTTTAAAATTGGCGAGACAAAGATTTTGTCCAAGATTTAAGTGCGAAAATTCATATAAAAACTAAATACAAATATAAATTACCAATTATATATATAAAATGAAACATCATCTCCACTCACACCGATAAAAAAGGCTCCTTTAATTATAAATTTCCAAACATGGGAATTAAGACGCATATTCTTGGGATTTTTTTATGATCCCATAATTTCTCCTTTTAAAACAACCAATTGCAAACATGTTTGGCATGGAGGGAAACAACAAGTTCTGATCCGTTTCATTTCCAAGCCTACTTTACTTTTTGTGAAGTCACCATATCCCAGTTGACTAAGTTCCAACTAGACGGGGTTTATACTGTTATTATTTTGCCAAGTATATATAAATAAACAAGTATAGAAGAAAATTCTAATGTGGCTAAAATATTTCTCTCGACACTATTTGAGAGTCTCGCATTCCAACCTGAAAGCAGAGAAGCCCATTGAATCATTTTTTCTCATCCTTCCTGAAACAATACCAAAATCTAAGTATTTTCTTACATTAGTTGTATAATGAATTGAATATATTTATTTCAAACTCAGCTCATTTAGATCATAAATATCCTTATTAACGAACATCCCAGAGGTTATTCCAAAAATATGAAAGAATTTTATATTTTTTAAGACATTAAACGCATTATTTATTCATTTTAATACTTTTTGTACTGTAAGGCAGCAGGAGGATTTATAGGAAGGTTATTCTTTACGATTTCATCCGATAACAAATTATTATTATTATTATTATTATTATTATTATTATATATATAATGTTTATTAACTTTTTATTCTATATATCTTACCTATTCTCTTATAATTTTTCTTATTATCTTATATAGAAAACATTGAATTAAAATTAAATATATTTAATATCTTGAAAATATAAATCACAACTAATACATACATACAACAGAAAGAAAGTAAGATAGTTTCTCCAATTCTTATTATAAGACAGAACTATAATTTTCTTTTAAATTATGTCTTATAATAAAGAACATGATAATAGAAATATGTTGTAAAATATTTATATTGTAATTAAATTCTTTTAAGAATATTAAAAATTTGCTTGCAAGTTGCAATTGATGTATGCGTAATTCTTCTGATAGACGGTGATAAAACTTTGAATCGTGATGGTATCATTCAATGCAGTACAATGGGGTTTAATTACGTTATCGGAAATCATAGTTCAAGATTTCCATCACTGCCTTTTCATGTCTAAACAACATTTATTGTATTCACTGCTTTTTTATTTTCCATTCTGATTTCCATTTCCACTATTATGATTGAGTGTCAAATAATGAGGTTCAGCCACTTTCCTCGATTTTAATACAGTAAAAGAAATACATCCAAATTAATGTAATAATAGAAAAATATGAAAGAAAAATGAAAAGTGTTGGTTGTTGATGTAAACGTAAATGGACTCGTGAGTGGGCCCGGGCTAGTTTCTCCGCCCATCCCATTGTGCGTTGCGATTGGCCCAACGAGGCTAAACTTTCGGATTACGTAACCACCACATTCACATGCGCAGCACTATACATTGGATAACGTCCTTGGTGGACCCCACATCCCTTGTCCATGCTGGAAAGTTCTGCTGCACACGTCACCACCCCAGTTGGGTAAAGCCTTAGCCTGCTATAACGCATGACTCATGCTTCTTCACAACCCAAAACGTCCTCTGCTGTCTGCTTTGCTTTTATTGGGAAACACTCGCAGGCGCAGCTAACTCACTCCTTTTTTCAGTTTTCAAGTCCTTCTCTAAAGTCAACCCTAGTCCCTTGTGCTTCCTTCTCTCCGCTTGTTGCATCCACTGCTTTCTACTCTTTTGGTTTCTTCTTCCCCTTTTTTATACATTCAATTCAAATCTTTTTTTGTTTGCTTCTCTTTTTCTTATCTTCCGTTCAACTTTATTGTCTTTTGGGAGGTCACTTACTGAATTTCCAATCTTGGTTTTTTTTTTTATGATGAGTGATAACATGTTCGTATTATACTTTATATTACAAATTCTGGAGTTATTAGCCATGTGTCAAATTTAGGAGTTTTAAAATAGTTCCTTTGTGATTTCCAATAAATTTGGAGCTACAGGATAGAGATCAACATTTCAATCACTTTTTTCCGATCAACATTTGTGCATTAACAGTGAAAGAGGTTTTACCTGGTAATAATTTTAAATCTTCTTCCAACATCTTATATTTTTTAAGACATTAAACGCATTATTTATTCATTTTAATACTTTTTGTACTGTAAGGCAGCAGGAGGATTTATAGGAAGGTTATTCTTTACGATTTCATCCGATAACAAATTATTATTATTATTATTATTATTATTATTATTATATATATAATGTTTATTAACTTTTATAATAATTACCTTAAAAATAGTATGATAGTATCTATCATGTAATTTTGATTGGTTGAAGGTGTAAAAGCATAGAAATTAAACTCTTTTTTTCAAAAAAATTTCTCAATGGACTGTTTAAAACATTCTTAATAGTATTCTTATGCTTCCACAGGTGTATGCAACTGCATTTGATGTAAAGCTGTTGTCCCATTTCTTCACAGCTTCTAAACCTACTACACAGGACAACAACTGATATAAGATGCGATTACCTTTTCCGGAAAAGATTTCTGCAACCTTGTATAGACCAGCTGAACTGATATCTGGATTCTTCTTTATTTAAATTGTTGCCTATACAGTATGAGGTTTGATAAATTTAGAGCTTTTTGGATACTTGGAATTGAAGACTGAAGAAATGGAGAAGGTTTGTGAATTCTGCACAGCTTTGAGGCCACTTGTTTACTGCAAGGCTGATGCAGCATATCTTTGCCTATCTTGTGATGCGAAGGTGCATTTGGCAAATGCATTGTCTGGCCGGCACCTCCGGAACCTTGTGTGTAACTCATGCGGATACCATCTTGCTTATGTTCTGTGTTTGGACCACAAAATGTTAATCTGTAGAGACTGCGATCAAAAGTTGCACAATGTTTCTTTGCCACATCAGAAACGAGCTATCAGAAGTTTCATGGGGTGCCCTTCTGCTAAAGACTTTGCAGCACTTTGGGGCCTTGAATTGAATGAGATTGAAAACTGTTCCAGTCAGGATCAGTTTGATTCGGTTTCTTGTGTTTCTGCCGATATGAATGTGGCACAATTCTCAGCAGAGACCTCCCTTGGTCTCGTGCCCAGCGCAATTTAAATTTGCGCTCAGCGCCCACAAGACAGAGACTCCTGAGGAGTCTCACACCCAGCGCGACAAGGGGCGCGCTCAGCGCCCAAAAGAAAAACCAAAACTTGGCACAACTGGTATCGCGCCCAACGCGGTCCAAGTCACGCCCAGCGCGGGGTTGGAAATGAGTAGGGGTAATTAGGGGAAGGCGCGAAAATAGCATAAGGTCCGAAAGAGCATTCTGTTAGGAAGTGTGTCAGAGACGGTTTCTTTCTTTCTTTCCCTCGCACCAAACACACACGCCTCAACCATCACCACTATAAAATCTCTCCCTCCACCTCTCTCTCTCTCTCAAATCGCTTTCTCTTTCTAAAATTCCTCACTCTAAAAGAGAACCTCAGAACCAGCTGCGAGGTGAGCGCTTTTCAACAGATTTTCCGCTTCTTCTTCGGAGAGTATAGCTTCTTTAATCTCAACGCAATTTCCCTCTGAGTTAACTTTCTCACACAATAATTTGCATGTTGGACTTACCGATCATTTCATCGACATTTCTTGAATAATCCTAATTAGTTCTTCGTTATTTTCTTCGATCGCACTCTCTGAAACTTTAACGAACCGGTTATTAATTTATTATGATCTGAAATTTTATATAAACATGACTTAATTAATGCTCGATCGATCGAAGGATCCAGTTAACTAATTAAACGACCGTCACGTTTCTGAAATTTTTCTTACTATCTTTATTGCCTGATCTTGCAGCGCAGAGATGCATAATAAGGACGCTTGCTCCCCCTCCGCCAACGGCGGATTCGGCGCCGTCACCGCCGGTCAAATTTCGTCACCCGGCGGCGTCTACAGCTCACTGTACTCGGCCTTGTCGAACGACAGCATTGCGTCACTCTCCGCGAACGGCGGTGGCGTTTCGCTGTATCCGTACTCCGAGTCAACTCAGTACGACTCGGGCGTGATTCAGAAGCACCAGGACATGGTGAACCGTCACAGCATGTGCCTGAGTCGCCTCGTGGAGACTTCGAAAGAGGTGGAGGCTCTGCGGCAAGAGAACGGCCAGCTCCGCGCGGCGAACAAGGAGCTGCAGAAGCAGCTGCACCTCGTCATCCAGGCCTCGCTGGAGAACCAGTATGGCGG